AAATCAGAAAATGAACAGTAATGCAAGTTTATGACCTAATGTACAGATTTATGGTGGCTTTATTAAGGTTTTTTTTTTCTTTTGTTGTCTCAAGTGGATTGGGACCTTGAATTCTTATATACAAAACAGTTTTCAGTACCCATGCTATGCCTCAAACAGTTGGGGAGTTCCTCCTCTCATTCCTTTTTCTCTTTGAAAGAGCTCCTGGAAAAATAAATTTTTGTTTAGACCTTGACATAATCTGCAGATAAGCCATCTGAGCCTGAACTCTTTTGGGGGAAAGAATTTCTTTTAACTGTCATAATTAACTTTCAAAACTTTACACACACACAAATAGAAGATGAAAGTTGTCATTTTTAAGAATTTATATATTTGAACAAAATCGTCAGTTGGATTGGCATATCATTTATAAGTCTCTATTTTTAATGTCTGCAGGATAATTAAGTTTGTTGGGGTAACATTGGTTAATACGATTATATAATTTTCAGATGTACATTATAATTTGACTTCTGTATATTATACTGTGCGTTTACCACCCAAAGTCCAGTTTCCTTCAGCTACCATATATATGATCCCCTTTACCCACTTCGCCCTCCTCCAACCCCGCTATGTTTGACTCCCTTTCCCTCTGGTAACCACTAGCTCATTGTCCATGTCCCAAGTCTCTGTATGTCCTGTTCATTTTTTGCTTTTAGGTTTATATCCCACATATAAGTGATATGTGATTTTCAACTTTTTCTGTCTGGCTTATTTCGCTTAGCATGATAATATTGAGGTCCATCCATGTTGTCACAAATGGCAGCATTTCATCTCTTCTTATGGCTGAATAATATTCCATTGTATATATGTACCACAGCTTCGTAGGACACTTCAGTTGCTTCCATGTCCTGGCCACTGTGAATAATGCTGCTATGAATATTGGTGTGCAAATATCTTTTCGGATATGGGTTTTCAAGTCTTTGGGGTAAATACCCAGTAGAGTATGGTGGCTGGATCATATGGTAGATGAATTCTTAGTTTTTGAGGAACCTCTGTTTTCCATAGTGGCTGTACAAATTTGCAATCCCACCAGCAGTGTACGAGGGTTCCTTTTTCTCCGCATCCTCTCCAACATTTGTTATTACTTGTCTTGTTGATTATAGCTATTCTAACAGGTGTGAGAGGATATCTCTTCGTGGTTTTGATTTGTATTGCCCTAATATCTAGTGATGTTGAGCATCTTTTCAAATATTTGTTGGCCATTTGTATGTCCTCTAGGGAGAAGTGTCTGTTCAGGTCCTCTGCCCATGTTTTGATTGGATCATTTGTTTTTTGTTGTTATTGAGTCGTATGAGTTCTTTGTATATTTTAGATATTAGGCCCTTATCAGAAGTGTTGCTTGCAAATATATTTTTCCATTTGGATGGTTCTCTCTTTGCCTTGTTGATGATCTCTTTTGCTGAGCCTTTTAATTTGATGTAGTCCCATTTATTTATTTTTGCTTTTACTTCCCTTGCCTTTGAGGTCAAATTTGTAAAATCCTCTTTAAGTCCAAGGTCCTTGAGTTTAGCGCCTATGTTTTCTTCTATGCATTTTATTGTTTCAGGTCTTATATTTAGGTCCTTAATCCATTTTGAGTTAATTTTAGTGTGTGGCGATAGACAACAGTCTAGTTTCATTCTTTTGTAGGTGGTCAGGCTCATTTTAATGTGTGCTAGGATGCAGAGTGCTGAGCACCAGAGGTAATGGTCAAGGTCAAGGTCACGGGAGGCCTTGGGTGGTCTGCTATCTTTTGGGTCGTGGAGGTCAGTGTCAGAATCCAAATTTTCCTCTTTAGTCCTGTAGCCCCAGGCAGGGCAGTTGTCCTCTCCGATTATCCGTCTCCTACCTGCAAAACAGAGGAAATTATCTGACATGGTAGTTATGGAAATACAAATTAGATAATGTGATAAAAATGATAGAACCAATTAGTGAGCTTGCATCTCCTCTGTACCCTCCCCCTCATCCCTCACAACCATTAAGATGAACAGTTGCATGAAGAACAGTACTTGAACAATAAGATAAACCTACTTGGGGACCGTTGCAAATAAACAGAGACCAGCAGAGACAGCAGACATTTACACCCACAGAAGAAAAAAGATGCAATGACTCTCAGCCCTCTAGTTTTATCTGAAGCAACAACAGAACACCCGTGTAAGAGCAGGGTCTCCAGGACCAAATCTCTGTGTCCTGTACCCTGACTTGACCACCTGATGGCGTGAGACTTTGGGCCTCTGTGTCTTCATCACAAATCAGGTCAATAATGGCATCTCATAGGGTTAAGAAATTTTAATGAGAGTTGCATCCAAACCCTTCGCAGAGGGCCAGGACCAGGCAATCAGAGAATGGAAACCATTACTATTTTATCTTTTTGAAAGAAAAATGGCTTCAGTCTTGCTCCTGAGCCTCCACTGACTTCTTGTTCCAAACCCTGATGTTTGTGGAATCCCAGCTTGCTGTCACATGGGACATCTGTTCAGTCCAGTGGTGTGCTGAAGCCAGCTCCTACCAGCTAAGAGAACTTTGTGTGTGCCTCTCTTCCCAAGGTCGTGTTTAGTGCCATCAAGTTGGAGCTTCATATCAACCACAGTGGGAGAATTCACACCACAGAAAGGTGCAGCGTTAGAGTCTGGGCTTTTCTGTGTGTAAGAGCTGGGTGCCAAACATTTGTCAGTGCACCACTGCCTAGTCAGGATGTCTCTTCTCTCAGAGGCACCACCAGGTTCTCTTGGGCTTACCTGGGGAAGAAGTGACGGAGAAAGATGAGATGCAGAGAATGAAAAAAAAAAAAGAGGCATCGATTAAATAGATCCCCTTTATATTTTATCAGGCTGAAAAAAGCTGAATTTGATGAGGAAACTCAGAGACTTCTGATAGCCGAGCAAGAGAGAAATCCCTCCTTGACAATCATAGATAGCTGATGGGACAGACACAGGGCCAGATGGGCACGAATTGGCTTGTGAATGAGCTGGGCATTCTGACTCAAGAGCAGTGACAATGGATAAAATTGGAGCCCTGAGTTGAACCTCTTCTGTGCCTAGAAACTAAAGTCACTGACCCTGATGTGAGCCCTGGTTTTTCTGGGACCCTGTTCAGGTATGTTTCATAAATTGTGCTTTTATGTGGTTTTTGCTCTGTGTCTTCCAGCAAGCCTTAGAGACACCTTCCTGATAAATGTTCCTTCCTGTCTCGCAATGACATTTTAAACCCTCAATAAAGTTTGACATCTTAAAACCAGTTGAACTGGGATTTATTACTAGTGACTGCCATGAGCGAGCATATAAATCGAAGAAACCAAGGTGGGCTTGGAAAGCCACTGACCATGCTGAGAACATTGCGGAAGCAGGTCTGATTCGACTGCTCCCTTCTCTGGGCTCTATCAGCATTCTATTTCAAGCCCTTCCTCTTTTCTTGCCTTGTGATTATATTTTTTAAAGAATTTCTATTTTTCAGTGACAGTTGACATACAATGTTATGTCAGTTTCAGGTGTACAGCATAGTGGTTAGACATTTATACACCTTGCAAGGTGAACCCTCGATTATTCTAGTCCCCACCTGTCACTATCTACAGTTATTACAATATTATTGACTGTATTCCCTATGCTGGACTTTATATCCCTGGGACTGTTTTTATAACTGGCAGTTTGCATGACAGTGTTTTAAAAGTACATTTTTAAAAATCAGAAAAGTACCGAGTACCATAAGAGTACAGATAAAGAAAGGTGAAGACACTTTTGACCACTGGCCCTGTCTAGTTCCCCTCTTCTGAAACCCACAAGCCACTGTCTCATGAGGTTCATGTGTAGCCTTCCAATTCTGTGTCTACACTTTCATATGCTTGAGTGCAATGTAGCACTAAGGGATTTTTTTTTTAATTACATGAGAGATGCCACCCTAAATACATGATTCTGCAAGTTTTTTCGTTGTTAGTCTATCTATGTTGATATACATAAGGTTGAGATATATATGTATATCATACTAGAACTCTGTATATATCTATAGTCTATATATCTATACCTTTTTTAATCTCACACATATAATGGCATCATATATATGTACTTCATTTGAATTACCTATTCTTCGATTGATAGGCATTCAGCTGGTTTCTAATATTTGACATTATACAAATTGTTACAATGTACAACCCTGCAAGTCCCTTGAGTCTGAGTCCTTTTTAAAGGTAGCTAGCTACCTGGAGACATAAAGGTAGCAAGTACAGTTACAAAGGCAACTGACAGAAGGGTCAGAGTAACTAAGAGGAGGGAGGCAGGTGGCAGTGAGCTAGACTGACGAGGTGACATGCCAGCATACAATGCATTAACTTGATACAATGTATCAGCAAGTCAAGCTACTGGTATCAAGGGACATGCAGGGGTGGAGAAACTCCCAGCTGACCTCAAGATAGATTTGTCCTTATCAGCATACCTTCAAACGGGAGCTTCCTCCTTGATGGGTAGGCTGTGTGAGGCCTAGGAAGGCTAGCTTTGAGCACCCCCTCCTGGCAACCCCATTCCAGGTGAGGTGCACCTAGTATTGATCCCCCAAGCCCTACCAGGTCACTTTGGCTTACGGTGAAGTGACTTTGAAATCCCCTCCGAGTATTCTTAAAATGTGGTTTTGAAATACATGGGTGTAATAGAAGTGACTTTCTGACAAATTCAGAAATTCTACACTAACAAAAAACTCTGAAAACATGACGAAAATAGCAATCGAGAATTTGTGGACCTGGCACTCACAGAATATTCCTGTGTTGTTTTTTAAAGAAACAATGAATAAATTGGGGGATAGTCTTGGATCTGGGGTTAACAAGTGCCATAGCTTGTCAGATTATCAGAAAGAACACGATCCCATTTCAAAAACTAGTCACCTAAAGTGATGAATTGATGACATGGAGATGAGGAGATTAAGGCAGATCTAAACCTTTGATTTTTTTAAAGTCTCGACCTTGACAGAACTTTCTAAATTAGTTCATATACCTGTCTTCACTCTCGCTTTATCTCAGTGTGCACCTACAATGAACAACGGAGGTGCAGAAGGAGGAAGGGAGTGAAATATTTATTTCAAGTACTGTGGGTTTTGCTTATGTTTACGAGTGAGAGTATATGGGTGCATAGAAGGATCACAGCATTTGATGTATCAGAAGAGCTCACTGGCCTTGTGAGACATGTTGGCTCTTAATAGAGAGTTGCATTTAAAGGCCAATTATTTGACTTACAATATCTGTAATCTGCAAAGCATTTTCTCTCGGTATCTCTGTTTTTAAATCAGTAAAGTAGGGTGGTTCCTACCTATAGGGGGTTGGTTTTGATGACTATCGAGACACACCATGAAGATGTTTTATAAGCGATGAATACAAAATAAAATGAATATCCAACTGTGCCCTACGATGACTCCTGATAGCTTTTGCTTATTGAGTAAATGTTACAAGAAAGAATCTTGGTGTTAAGGTAAGGGAGAGAAAATTATAATTTAATGAGCTTCTGCTTCTCATACAATCCCATGCATGGCATCATTGATTTCACCTTGTATCGTGTGTGGGATCCATGCTCCTCAATATTTTCAGGTGGGTGAAATATGTTTCAGCTATAACACAGTCTCGGATCACTCAAAGGTAGAAGCAAAAGCCAAACTTGGGTGTATTTGCATATTAGGAGTGGTTCTGGATGTCTGTCTGACTTATTTAATCGTATAACCATGGAATTATAATCACATCTATTACCATCTCTCAATCCACAAGAAATGGATGCCTCAAAGTATTTATATATCCTTCACTTTATTGAATCTTCATAAACACCCAAGAATTAACATTATACAAAAAAAAAAAAAGACCAAAAACAAAACACACAAAAAAACCTCTTAAAGCCAATGTAGGCTCTTGGGGCCAAACAGTCTGAGATTTGAATTCTGGAGGTTGGGTATTTAATGTGCTGCCTACAACCAACTGTGGAAAAACAATGGAAGTAACAGCTCACTTGTCCTGTGAACAGTGACACCTGAGCAACACAGTCACAACCTTCTGGTGGTTGTGCTCCAAGAAACTTCCATGAGAATGTGGTGGCATCTTATCCTTGGGTCACCACCACCATTTATCTTTAAGGTCATTAAAATCCCACTTACACATGATTCTCCCTTCTGTAATTCCTCCAACTCCACTTTTACTATGTTGTACAAGTCCTTTTTCAGCCTGCAAAAAAAAAAAAAAAAAAGAGAACAGAATTAGAATGAGTAGAGGGGGATGATTGAATGATATGATGAAATACAGAAGATGACTCTAGCTTCACCTAGAGAGACTGGTAAGGAGATGTGAAGGTCCAAGTACCCCTTTCCATAAAAGAATGGCACAGCCAGGAAGGAAAAAGATGGCAAAGCCTTGTGAAAGATGACAGAATAGATATAGGACAAGGTAACTCAGGTCATTGTCATCCATGTGTATGAATCTGATTTCTCTCATTTGTATTATTGGTCTATGTTTAGCAGACTCTTGAAAAGTGATATCCTCACATTCTCTTCTTTGAGAAGAGGTGAGAATCTTGGCAGCTGGTCGTAAGTCTCCTCTGCAACCTGAATCACATGCACACACAATTGGAAGGGGAGACATGTCCATCTTTGGTGGTCACCAACCCAGAACTCTTGTAAAAATGCATTATGTAGATGCCAAATTGGTAACATAAAAGTCTCAATGTACAGATTTCTATCAACTTCCAAGTAGGCAAATTTCCTTCGTATCTGAAATGGTTTTCTGCTAAAATGTACCTAGTTTAATCTCTTTCTCCAGAAAAAAAACAAACCACTGCTTATCTTTCTGACACCATTTCCAGAAAACTAAGGTATAGAGTGTTCTGATTAAGTGCTCTTCTTTTGATGCCTTGAAGGGGCAACACAAAGCTGGGTCTGACCTCAGGACCTTTGCATATGACACTGCTGCTTCTTTAGGACCCTCCACTCTTAATTTCTAGTCACTTTCCACATCCCCCTCCTGATACATGGATTCCCCCTTTCAGCCTCAGTGGGACTCAGGGTTAATGATACCACCTCATGCATGCCTTTCCTTACCACTTTGACTACCCTTGTTTTCTGTCCCATGACCCAAAGTTACTTTCACACATTCAGAACTAACATTGTTTTTAAAGCTCTCAGATTTGCCATCTCCCTGGGGAGAATATAGCCTCATGAGAACAAAGCTCGCATCCATTTGTTTCCCACTGTCCATCATGCCACCATGCTGGACCCACAGTTAGCACTGAAAAGGAAGTTGTTGAGTAAACATTTGTTGACCAAGATAGAAATAGGCACTAGAGAATGGGGAAAATGAGGCAAGTCCCCAAATACCCAAATGTCTATAGGACTATGCCATCCAGTATGGTTGTCACGAGCCACATGTGGCTATTTAAGTCAATTCACACCAAAGAAAATAAAATGAAAAATTCAGTCCCTCAGGTGTAGTGACTACATTGCAAGTGCCCAGTTACCACCTGTGGCTGGTAGCTACTCTATTGGACGACGTAGATGGAGACCATTTTCGTCATTACTGAATGCTCTATTGACCAGCAGTGCCCCAGGAAATTGAACTCAGGGCAAACTTGATGCTTGCTGTAAAACACGAGCCCATCCATCCCCTATCTTGGCAGGTGCTTCCCTGGTAAAAGTCAGTGGGGGTTACCCTGTAGTTTGCACATTGATTTTTTTTCAAGGACTTCCACAGTGTGTTGACCCCATCGGGCCCCAAGTCATTTCCCAAAAGGTTCAGATGAACCAGACTTTTACCAATTCTGAGAGCAGAGAAGAGATGCTGACAGCAGACAGATATCAGGTTGCATTTCTCCAACCTAGGTGGTGGGGTGGGAAGGGAACATTAAAGACAGTCTACCGAAATTAAGACATTAGAAATAAAAGCGAAATAACATCTGGGGGAAAAAACACTATTGAAAAAGACTGGCTAACAGCAGAGAGTTTAGCACACACCAGACACTTTCCAAATGCTTGCTCACAACTCATTTAGTCCATATACCAATTCTATAAAGGTAGATAATACCTTAAACCCACTTGGCAGATGGGGAAGCACATTTTGCCTGCCTTAACATGAGGGAAATAATTTTAGCTTTAAAGTGGATGTGAGTTTATTTATAAGGCCCTTGAAAGGCATTAGATAGCATCACAACACTTTCATTACACATTTTTCATCTTCTTTCTAAATTCAACAGCACAGAACCTGAACATATGGTTGGCTGGCTACTAGGAATATAAAGACGAAAGTGAATGTGTATTCTATCAGTTTAACATAGCAGAAATTTCCACCTAAGTCTATAAAGAAATGTGACTCGTGGCTGTATGTGCAAAATTCAATGCATGAAAAGCAGAGGGAAGGAATAGATTTCCTTAGGTTAGAAGAAGGTGGGCAGGATCCAGAAGATGCTTGGAAGTAAAGGCACCATTTGATGGACAGGAATAGCATAGGACAAGAAAAACATGGTGGGTTCTAACATCGCAGGTCTAATGCCACCAGCTATATTATATATCCTTGACCTTGAGCATGTACCTTTAATAGTATTCCTTCAGTCTTCTAGGTGAGTGTTTCTCACTCAAGGGCGATTTTGCCTCACAGGGGAGATTTGAGAATGTTGGAGGACTGGAGAGGTGCTGTTGGCATCTGATGGGGAGACCAGGGGTGCTGCTGAATACTCTACAGTGCATAGGACAGTCCTGACAGCAATGAGTTACCCAGTCAATAGTGCTGAGATTGAGTGCCCTGCTCTAGATGGACCCCTATGCATACAAATATGGATATGCAGATACCTGCTCTAAGGTGCCAACAGTGGACAATGAGGCTGGATGGAAGTAAACTGAATGCCGGGAAGGGATTCATCATTAAAGACGATGCAATAATTGTTGCAAATGCTTTCCTCAGTTATGCCACTGGGGAGAAGCACCTGGAGAGTGAGGGCTTAAAACTAGACTCTAGATTACTTCTTGGTAAAGACTTTCCCTTTACCAAAGAATATTGCATCTGCACATGGCAAGGTTTCCATAGAGAAAGACGAGTACAGTGTCATCTCACTTATGTGTGGAATCTAAAAAAGCCAAACTCATAGAGAGTAGAATGGTGGTTTCCAGGGGTCGGGGTGGGGAAATGAGGAGATGTTGGTCAAAGATACAAGCTTTCAGTTGTGAGATGAATAAGTCCTGGGGTCTCATGTCTAGCACAGTGACTATTATATAAGAACTATTATATACTTGAAAGTTGCTGAGAGTAGATCATAAATGTTCTCACCACAAAAAAAGAAGTGGTAACTAGGTGACGTGGTGGAGGAATCATATTGCAATACATCAGCATATCAAGTCAAGGGTAAGGTGGTATCATATTGCAATAATCAAGAGTATACAATCAGCATGTTGGAAACTTAAAAATATCACAATGTTGTATGTTCATTATCTCTCAATAAAGATTGGGGCAAGAGGAGAATTGGCTTCTGAGTCAGACTTAGATTGGGTCCCTGTTCTATCATTATTTAGTTAAGTGACCTCCTTGCCTCAGTTTTCCTGTTTTTAACATGGATGTAAAGGTACTGACCTCCTGGGATCTCCCTGCTTGAGGACAAAGTGGTAAGTGTCATGAGTTCTCCATTTCCATGCACATAGTAAGCACTCAAACCATAGTTCACCCTACAGAATTTTCTCCTGCATGGTCTCCCTTAGGTCACCATTCTCTCCCAACCATATGTAGTGAAATCTTCCCACAGGAACTCCTCTGGGCCCTTGGAGATGCCCAGTACTTTCTTCCCTACCTACCTTTCTTTTTTGATTCAGGGACAGAGACAAAGACTCACATGCCAAGGTTAATCTCAAAACCCAACTGAGTGCAGCCCCTAAGCCCTGAGCCCCTAAGTGGTTTATAAGAACAACAAACCATTGTCTGTTTGAAAAGAGGATACATTTGAGCCACCTTTGACCAAAATTACTACTACTTGGCACTAAATCATCTTAGTTTGCTGAGCAAAGACATCAAATTGTGATTAAAATCTGTCTTGCCTTATGAAGTGATCACACTGATTAGTCTAGTCCCCACCTGACATGACACCACATATAGTTATCACAATATTATTGACGATATTCCCTGTGCTGTACTTCACATCCATGTGACTGTTTTGTAATTTCCAATTTGGGTTCTTAATGTGGACTCACTATGTTGTATACCTAAAAACTAATATAATGTATGTCAACAACTGAAAAATAAGATTTTAAAAATAATCCAAAAATTTTGAAAATAAAAATCCATCTTCCCATTAGAGTGAAGATTCACTGGGCAAGGAGCATGTCTAGCACTTTTTATCCAAAATGTACTGATTGAAAATATCTACAAACAAAGAGTTTTAAAAGAAAACCCTGTCCTTCAACACGTCTCTCCTTCTTACCCCTCACATGACCACATATCACTCTGTCCCCGCCCAAGAGGAGATGAGGGGACTTCCTGCACAAGGACAGCGTTGACTCACCTAAGTGTGTTAGTGCACAATGTGAATGTTTGAGAATCTCACACAGTTGCTTTGCTCTATCATCCTGAATACAGTTTTTCCCAATAACCAAAGCTTTCACATTATGATTGTGCTTAAGGCAGTCAGTCGGCTCCCGACAGCCGTCCGCTGTGAAAGAACAGTAGAACAAACTGCAAAATAAAAACATAGTAGAGGGTGTAAAATAATCTTGAGTCCTGTCTTTATAAGCTCCAGCCCACCTCATTTGCTCCCGAGGAAGAGCTGGCTTCTCATCCTAAGCCCCAGGACGAAGTAGTGCAGGTTGGGAGGCCCCATGCCTGATCTGCCATCTCCCTGTGAGACAGAGACCAGGGACCACAAGGCAAGGGCTCCTGTCCATGGGAAGGGCTACTTCTCCATGATACTCATGGTCCAGACCCCACCTTGCTATCACAGAACAAGTGTTTCAGCTTCTGAGCTCAACATCTGAACTGAAAAACACACCAAAATCTCACGTGAGAGCAGATCTCAATTCCCAAGAATGAGTTCTTATACCCAATGAGCTCAAGATGAGAAATGCAGGTGAATATTTGGAGAGAGGGAGAGATCCAGAGAGGTGAGAGGGAATGAGGGGACAGATGCAGAAACAGAGGAAGAAGGGAGGAGGGAGGAGGGAAGTGAAACAATGGAAGATGCCTTAAGGTGGAGAAGGCAAACATATAGTAAAACCCTTTAGCCATATAGGAAGAATTTTGACTACATAAAAATATCTACATCATTAAAACTGTCAAGGGCCAAGTCTAAAGGAGTTGTTAACTAGATAAACACGGATGCACATCACACCCAATGTGGCTAAATTTCCTAATGAAGAACACCTACAGGTCATAAGGAAAAAAAAAATCCTCAAGTTTTATCAACAGGTTGGAATTTCACGCAAATGGCTTTCAACATTCGAAAACTGCCCAACTCCATTCTTATTCACAGAGACAAATATATAAGAACTCTGAGTCTACAAATAAGGACTATAACCCCTGGGACTGACCTCAAAATAATCATGGGTGGAAAGTGCTGGTGAGGGTTTCCATGAAAGCAGGTTGGATGTGAATCAACAATTGTTAGATAACAGAGTAGATTATATACTGTTCTCTCTACTTTTGCATAAGTTTCAGTATTTCCATGGAAAACATAAAAAAGTAGATTGAGCTACCATTATTTCACCTCAAACTGATGAAGGTCAAAGAGGTTTCCTAACATCATACATGAGGGTCTGAATAATGGACATTCGTGGCTAGCAGCAGTGTTAGTTAGCAAAGGACAATTGAGCAAGATATGTTAAAAATTTTGACTGCAAAGACCCAGCTGTTCTATGTCTAGAAACTAATTCCACAAGTAAATTTACACATGCCCAAAATATTACAGGCACAAAGATAATTTTTATTCCTTTTCCTGAAGGCTTATAACAACCAGAGTGTTTATTATATAACTAGTACACTCATTCAACAAGTTACTACATCCCATCAAAGAGTTAAGGTTGCTACATACTGCTATGCAACGTTCTCAGGTATGTTGTTTAGGGGGCATGTTTCATGGTAATATGCTGAGTAAAAACACCTGCTCACTGATATATGCACAGAAGACCTCTGAGAAGATGAAAAAAAAAAACTGAAAGCATTGGTGGTCCCCAAGGAGGGGAACTGAGTGGTTGGAGAACACTAGTGAGATGTGGTTTCATCTGCTCTTTGGTACCCTCTGAGTCAGCAAAGTCCAATAGAAATTTCTACCACGATGGCGAAAATATTCTATAGCTGCCCCGTCCACTACACTAGCACTAGATACAAGTGACCACCAAGCACTTCAAATGTACTTAATGTAACTGAGGCACTGAATTTTTAATTCTATTTCATCTTAATTAATTTTATTCCAAGTTTAGGCACATGTGGATGCCATATTGGACAGAACAGTCACCTTTAATCCTGTGAATTTACTTACCTAGATGACCAATACAAAATATTTTATTGTATTTAATTATGAATTGGCTACCTGTTAGGCCATTAAAATGTGTCTGGTATTACTAATGTCAATAAAAAAATTATAGACAAAGTTTTCCAAATCCCTTAGCAGCCTATTCTGTGATTATCTGGATGGCCTCCACTGCCACCTATATTCATACTAGGGATATGGAGCCTTTTTGAGACTGAGATGGATTCCATGTTCAAAAACATGCACAGATGTAAATAACATACAAAATCATTTATCTGATGACTGTAAACCAGGGAGACTCGAAGCTCCTTTGAATTTTTTATCAGACATGTTGTGCAGTGGAAAGCTAGCAGAAGCATGCCTGACCACTGTCCTCAGAAAGGCCCACTGACAAGGCTAGCCCTTGGCTGGCATCTGAGACACGGATTTCAGGAGAGCTCCCCGGTCCCGTAAGAAAAGGGGCTCACTGTGCCTAAACTGTTGCAAACGTGGTTTACACTAAACTCCTGCTTTCCTTGTGGCCAGAAGGCATGCTCAGCACCAGTGCTTAGGAGAAATCTAGGGCCCTGAGTCTGTAGTGACCCACCCTGGTTGCAAACATTTCACATGTGTTGTTACAGCATACACTGGGGGCATTAAGCATGTCCTAGGTGACTCCACTGGGAGAGGATTGCCTGGAGCTGGCAGCACCTGGCCTCCTGTAGACTTTTCCCAGTGTGCCTTCCCCGTCTGCTGATGTTGCTTTGTCCCCTTTAACTGTAATGAATCATAGCCACCAATATGACTACAGCTTTCTGAGTCCTCCCAGTTAATCGTCAAATACTACCCCAGACATGTGTTGTGGTGAGTCCTTAAGTCACCCCAGTTTTCTCCTCATGGGCATCACACCCACCACAAGCACTCCCACCTCCCACAAAACCTAAAGCTTCTCTCTGCCAAGAATCACATCTACATCCAGGACACAAACCCCACCTAGAAGTCAGGCATTTGTAGGTCTGCTTGAGAGGCTCCCCTCACCCATCAAACATGAGGGAGGTGGGATACTCACTTGAGATTTTGTAGGTTGCAGTCTGGATGGCTCAGAGCCTCACACAGAAACCTCAGCCCCATGTCCCCCAGGGGGTTCTTCCTCAGGTCCAGGTGTGTCGGTGTCGTGTTCTGGAGAAGAGTGTCTGATAGGGACCTGCAGCTGAGTGCACCAAGTTGGCCGAACCAGAGCTTGTGGGTTGAAAGCCACAGAGAGAGGTACTAAGGAAAGTGGCCTGAATGAGATGCCAGGAGCACCAGCCACCAGAACCTGAGTGCACCACGGTGTCAACTCGGACCCCACCCAGGATGAACTGAATGTCTGTGTAGGCATCCTTATCCTGCCCTGCTCCAGAATGGAAAACAAGCATTGCAGGGTCAGTCTGCTCAGTGGCTGGTTTCAAAAAAAGAGGAACAACAGTCACACAGTACAAAGTTTCAGTTACGCAAGGTAAATCTGTCTGGAGATGCACGCTGTGCCTATAGCTTGACTACGCTGCAGTAAAGCGTAAAACATGCTGAGAGGGCAGATCCTGTGTTAAGTATGACAATGATAATAATAATAATAATAATAATAATATGACTTAAGGAATTTATTACAGGAGGCACAAGTTATACATAGGTATCTGTGGTACAAGGTAGCAGAATAGAAGGCTATAAGCAGAGTGCTGTGGTGGTTCAGAGGAGAGAGAGAGAAAGCACATGCAGAAGGAATATCAAGAAAGTCCATTTCCACAAGTGAGGAACAGGAGAGGAGAAAGAAGAACTAGTGATTGATGCAGAAGGGGTGAGAGGCCCAGGAGAAGACTTCAATTATATAGTAGAAGGTCAAAAACTGGTGGCCTGCAGGGCAAATTTAGCTCATTGATGGGTTTCCTTTCTCCAAGCCCACACAAGGTTAACAATCTTCTTTTTTTTCTTTTTTTACCCATTTTTGGGTAAACCAATATAAAAATCCAAGTTTCTAGTTGAAAAATTAGAAAATCTGGCAAGATTAGGTTTGAATCCTTGCTTGACCAACTATAAGATTGTGCTGAGTAGCAACTAAGCTTTTTATGGAGCACAAATTCTCCAGTTGCTACAGTATCTACCACTCCTATTAAGAGGCCAGAATGGAGTCATGGAGACCTATTGGAGACTGTTTCAGCAATCAAGAAGAGAGTAACTCGTTGCTTGATCTAAGGTTATAGCTGTAGCAATATTGAGAAGTGAACCATTTTTTTAAATATATAAGTCATAGAATTTTTGACATATTTGATTTAAGAAGGGAGAGAAAGAAGGATTCAGGGGTGATGTTCCTATTTCTGCCAAATGATAATAATGATAATAATAATAATAATAATAATAATAATAATAATAATAATAATAATAGGTGGAAGAAACTTTGGAGGTGATGGATATGCCCATGGCCTTGATGGTGGTGAGGGCTTCATGGGTGTATGCATACCCCCAAATTCACTGAATTGTATACATTATATATATACAGCATTTTACTTGTCAAAAAATAAATTTAAAAAATTCTCACATGAAACTTTAAGTAAAAATTAAAAGAAACACATTTTCAGTGGCCCCAGGCTCTGGAGCCAGACAAACATGGGTTTAGATGCCATCAGCTGTTAGTAACTGTTGTCGGCAAGCTGCATCACTCAAGCTGCGTCACTCAATCTGTGTCACTCCTTCAGCTACTCTAAAGAGGAGGTTATAATGGCCTGCCACACAGGAGACAATGCTCCAATGAGCCATGCATGTAAAGTGCTCAGGACAGTACTTGGCAAGCATGTGATACAAGCTATGGAAGATATATAATACATAGAGATTT